TCAGAATGCACGCTGCCATGGGCAAGAACATTCCCGTATTATTTGCGAACATTTGCAACAAGCGTAAATAGCGGGCCCACCCCACCCCACCCCACCCCCAGGCTGGGCCACCATCGCGGGCCAGGCGGACCTCCCCATCGCGGTGCGCCACGCCACGCCCCCTCCCGCGGGGTCGGGCTTGCGCCGCGTGGCGCCTCGTGGCGCTCCCCTTCCCGTCCCGCGGCAGGAGGTGGCCCGGCCAGCAGCATAGCGGGCATAGCAGGGGGCGACTTCCTCCGTCGACGTGCTCTCCTGGTACCGTTCTTTTCAATTCCGAGGGAAATCCGAGAAAAAGTGCCCCTCAAATACTCCTGTACACCTGTACTCCACCTATTTAGAATGAATAAATGCGCGCTCCGCGCGCTTTGAATCTTGAATGAATCTTGAATCTGTTTTTCCACAATTTGACGAAAGTAGGCGCGGCAAGTTACGGTGGCTACTTCCCCCCTGCAAAATCATTTTTCATTCCACTCCCATCCTATGGTGGGGAAAGGGAAATGGAGAAAGGGGGTGGGTGACGGCCTGAATGAGGGGCTAGGGTTGTCCGTTACCGTTCCCAATTCCATACCAGCCCCCCTTCCCTACCTCCCTCCGCCCCACGGAGATCGACAGGCTGGGCGCAAGAGACTAGCCCCCTCCCTTTTGCCTAACCCACCGATCTCTCATCTCAGCAGAGCCGCTGTCACGATAATACGAGTTAACTGGAAACCGACTTATTAAGCGGTCGCTTAGACCGACTATAGCTTTTCCTCTCGTCACTGCTGGGTGCTTTAATATTTTAGAAACGGAAAGTGGTTTTCCGAAGGATCCCGGTTCCGGTAGTCAGATAACCAATGACTGGGCTGCTCTTCCCATCTTTCATTCATTTTGTTTCCTCATTGTGTTGAAAAATAATGGCCAAACATCAAGAAATTGTTTCCTTCAACTAAAACTATTGGAGTGGTGGTCTTGAAAAGATGTTTTTGTTAACAAGTCATTTATTTTGATACAGAACAAAAGATTAGCATAGACTTATGTCAGGTTTTGTTATCATTTACACATAATAAAAGGACACACAAAATTTTAACGAACAATCTTTTGTAATGCAATGCAATGCAATGCAATACAGTACAATACACTGCAACTTGCTGCATTAACTTACGTACACACACAAATCATAAGAAACATTCATCTTTGGTAATATTGCATTCCACATAAGCATTGGAGGTGCATCTATTTACATTGATTTAAAATGGAAAATACAAGCATGAGCAAATGATGACCAATGTATGACACAAAACAATCCAGACCATCCATGAGTAAAAATCATAACTTGACTACACTAGGCCTTGAGACAGAGATGAGGGGCCCCTTTGTGTTCCTCAAATTTCCAACTCTGATATGATCTCAAATGAGATTGTCGACAGTACAGTAAGAAAATCTAATATAGTTTGGAGTTCTTTTGAACAAACATAAAATATTGTAAGTCCTCACTTTGAAAAACTTCCATCTCATTTTGGACAAGGAAGTAGAGATCAAACAAAAACAAAATGTCTGTTAAATTATAAAATAGAATTAGACATGCATTTTTCACACACAGAAACAAGATTGAACTGCCTCTGAGTGTTATATTTTCTTCTAAAATGTTACACAATGGAATGGATGTGTCTGGTGGGTATGTAAATAAATAGCTACAGGAATGAAATAAATATCACAGAGAAAAATGACAATAGTGCATTAGCATCATGAAAAACACGACCAAAAAGCACATAGTTATCATGGATAAACTCATGAAATGATTCTAGAGCACAATATTAGGGTATATATAAAAAAAAAATTATACAGACATAGGCCTAAACCAGCATTGATCACAATAGCGCAAAAAATAAAACAAAACAAGAAATTACATCCAGAAATAAATAAACATTTTTGATTGGATTAAAATATTTTAGCAAGAAAAAGATGAATTTGACAATTCAATTTACTCATAACAATGAGCAAAATCCCAGATGCCATTACAAAGCACTAGCCAGACCCTAAAGAATGAAACTCTTTGCTTCACCACACTTGCTCTTGCTGTAACTCCCTCAAGAGGTAAAGCTTTTATTTCTAACACTCATTTCCATATTTAAGAAATTCATTAGATAGATTATCATTTTTGTTTGGTGGCTGGTCCCTTACACGATAGAACACATCAACACACACATGAAGAATAGATAGATATTTTTAAAACTCCTGTCCCAAAGGAAAACTTCAGTTAGAGAATTTTCAATTACGTAAAAGCAATGGCTAAATAGCATATAAGGCTAAATTGGTCTTAGTCAAGATGCATAACACTGTTTAGAACCATCATGCAGACCTCAACATAAGAAACTCAAAGTAAGTATCAGATTTGAAATTGGAATTTAACTTTGCACAAGACAAAACTTCTCAAAAGAAAAGGAAAGGAAACTAAAAATAAAGCTCAAATTTGTGAACATGGACATCACAACAATGCAGATTTAAAGTGCAATGAAGTTATCAGAAGGATGAAATTATTGGTACCCTAAATCAGTACCAAATAAAACTGTCAAAGACATATTACATTTTACAAGCACACACAGAAGATTGACATTGCAGAACCAATGGTTCATGTCATAAAATATTTATTGGTAATACTGGCTATTTAGTGAACACATGTGTCATGAGACCAAGATACTAATGACTGATTAGATTATGATTACTGTTTCCTACTCCATTTTACTTTTTGCTATACCTAGCTTGCAAAACTGACATTAAAATTCTTTGGCACATTTCTTTCCCACAACATCATTTCTCCCGCAGTCTCAGCAAGATAAAGGAAACAATATTGACCTATAAAATGAAAGAAAAAAGGCAACAGAAAAATAAACAAAACAGAATAAATGCTTTAAGGTAGATTAAGTCTCATAAAAGACGTGGCATAAGGCATACATTTCTTTGACTCTTTGGCTCCAAATAATGGTTTTGGAACCATGTGATTGGCCTTGGCTGCTACCCTACCTCAACCTTAAGAGGCAAAATCCACCTTCACAGCTTCCCAGATAATACATAACCGGTAAGAGGCTTTTTTGCTGTAGGCTGTAGGTGCCTTGCACATTCAACTCTTTCCTAAACCCAGTAACAAAATAAATTGAAATTGAAATAACAATCAATTAACAAATAAGCTGACGGTAAAACTAAACACATGATCACAGAAGAAAAGAATTGTTTCAAACATGCAACAAAAATGATAGTTTGACAATTCATTACAAGAACAAGTAAAATATCTAACATGACATAGTGCAACTTCATGAGCAAATGTTAGCAAGAAATCATAGCAGCTACTTCACAGGATTAGTTGTATCACAGGTCAGGTTAATGATGAGTTAAGGTTACAGAGTAGAAATACGTGAACAATAATATTAGGTTGGAGGTCCACTCATAGGCCACTGCTTGCTTTGCTTATGACAGTCAAAAGAAATTACATACTTCCAGATCTTATAAGACTTATTGGAAAAGTCAACTGAAACTTTCTTCCACTACTCCAACTTTGTTTTTGGAAAAATATCAGGTTTTAATTAAGGCAATTATAAGAAATATTCCACTCTGCACAGTAAATGAATGGATTCTGACGGAATTATTTAGACGGTCTCAATTGCTTACAGTAAGTAGGAATGATTCTTCTATTCAAGTTGATTATTTACATGAGACAATAATAATACTACGTCACTTTGAGAATATATTTAAAGGATGTCTAGAAATTGTACAATGTTAAACACGTTTAGTCTCGCATGGGCACATGTTGGCGATGCTTTGCTGGTAAACACCACCACTGTAAATTTCTCTTGGACTCAAGGTGTTAAAACAAACCCAGAAATCAAGTGAACAGATAAATCTAAACACTGCAATTCAGGATCAAACTGACCCAAGAATAAAATGGACATAATTACTAGAATCACACAGTTTGAGGTCATAGCTTTTCGGTCCATGTGACACATTTTGATTTTTAAGGTGAGCACAGATACTTGCCAAGATAGAGTAAATTAATCAGTCACTACACTTTGACTCATTACCAGCATGAGCTTAGAGGCATGATATTAATAATACAGGACAGAAATCCAGGATAAAGTAACTCAGCATTGTAACTTGCTTAAAATTCATGTTGTGCAAAAATTTGGCAAATTAAACCTTAGCACCAGGGGTAAAGTAACATTCCATTCTACCTGAAATAATAAGAGTGACATCACAAAAAACTTTTTAAAAGAAAACACGAAAGTAAAGAGATATTCAGTATCTATTCTTCATCGGACTCATCATCGGATGAAGTTTCTGGCATACTACTGAACCAATTGTCTCTTGCCCCAACACCATGCAGTGGTACTGGCCTGTAATCAGAAGTAAAAAACAGTTCACAGCTTCTAATCACCAAGGGAGTCCCAGATATTTTATTAGATACATTATCTGTATGCAACATCAGTGAAATCCAAAATGTTACCTGTGACGAGTAGGCAGAGTTAGACTTGTTCGATAGTATCCATTCCCATTCTCTTCACTTGTGTCAGTAGGCTTGCGATGCAAAGTCATTGTAATCTCTGGCTCAGGATCCTCTGCATCTAGGTAATAGTTAGAACTGTGTGTGCTCTTGCAGTTTTCACATTCACTGCGGTAGTCGTCATTATCATCAAGTCCACCTTGGGCCAACGATAAATTACTGTTTTGTGGTAGAGAAGGGTCATTGACTGGTAAACTCATGATGCTGCTATGGCAGCTTCCTGGACAAGTGCATCGAGGGCTGGCAGCCTTAGGACATGTGCATCTTGGTGGAGAGGCAGCAACTAGCGCTGCAACTACGGCGGCGTTAGGTGAGGCACTTGCAATCGCCTTATTATGCTGAGGTTCCACTTGTGGTATTACAGGAGGCGGAACAGTTATGGTCGTAGACATAGACATAGCACAAGCAGGTGATGAAGTTCCATCACTTAGTAATGACTGAGATGGGGTTATCTTAGGTGTTGGAGTGGCAACTGGAACAGGATTTCTCCTAGGAGTGAAAAAAAAAGTCTTGTTAAAATTTGTAATTGATTTCAAGTTCATACTGACAATACATCAGATAAACACTACGGTACTCTACCTGAGTGTACCCATTCCATTACTGCTCATCCCAAGATGTTTGCCTCTTCGTAGTGTTGCAATGTGAAGATGTGGAACATCCACTGGTGCTGGGTGAAATGCATCTTCATAGACACCAGTTCCAGATTTTGGAACATTAGTTAAATGAGGAATAACAGATTTTGAAGATATTCCTTTTCTCTCCTTTTGGTCCAAATCTTGACCAGGCATTTCTAATACAGGCCCTGGAGCCAGGTGTTGACGTCCATATGAATGAGAAAGATGCGTTTGCCCACCACCATGAACTTGATGATGAATACCATGAGAATGATGAGGAGGTAAGGAATGAGAATTCTCAGGAAGGGGTGTAGAAGGTAATCTTCTATCCTCTCCTCTGATGGGGTCATCTTGCCTCCATAGGTTTTCCCGATGACTTAAATCTCTGTGAGCAAACTCATGTCTATGATGAGTTTCAGGTCTTAGGCCCGAGCGGTCATCCACATGAACATGACTGAGGTGTTGAGTATTTTCTTTTCTATGAATTATATCTGGACGGTGATTTCCATCACTTCGTAAAAATTCAGCATGATGAATTACTTCCGTTCGAGAAGTATTTTCAGCCCCATGAACATTATCGAATCTGAGGTTTGCCTCAATTCTATGACTAGTATCAGGTCGATGACCAGCATCAGACCGCTGATTAGGTTCTGAAGAATGAACAGTTTCAGAGCCATGGACTCCATCAGATCGATGACCAGCATCAGACCTGTGAGGAGCTTCTGTCCACTGAAAAGTATCAGGCCGATGATTTATGTCTGCCCTACGAACTCCCTCTGGTCGATGGCTTGAGTCAGGTCTAGGAGTCATATCACTGCGCCTTAGAGTGCTAGACCTTGAAGATGAATCTGTCCCTTGTCGCACATGTGTGATATCAGAATGAAGTAATTCAGGCCTAGCAATTGGTGGAGCTGTGACAGTTGCCGTGACAGAGACAGTACCAGTAGCAACTGAGACACATGAAGTATTAGGTGGATTTTCATCACTAGAAAAGAGAGAATAAAAAGTTAGAGAATTTAAGTTTCATTGAAAAAAAGAACAACATTAACATGACCTTTTAGTTATTTAACAAATTAGAACAACCAACCACCCAACTCAAAACTTTGAAAGACAACTTACAAACGTTCTGGTTGTAATGTAAAACTTGCACTTGTGGCAAGATTTATTGGTATTGTTCGATGAGTTGTGGTTCCCAATAAATTTCCTGTTGCATAGGTGTTATAGTTTACTCCTAAGAGCGCATCTCGACTGAAAATTTAACGTTAAGACCCACAATGAGCTGTACCATTTCAGTAATAAGCTAGAAAGTTCCAGAGTAGCCAAAAAAACTAAAACTAACCCAAAATTTGAAGGATTTGTATGCAAGTTACCACCTGCCATGGCTGCTGCCAAAGCTTCAGCTCGAGTGGCAGCAACTGCTTCTTCATAAGGAGGAGGAGCCTCCCCACGTGGAAAATAGTTACCAGGCGGCTTCCACAGAGGATAATGGGGAAAATGGGCAGCTGGTTCTTCATATCTTTCCATGGCTCCAGGCAAATATCCCAAGGAACCCGTAATATAGCCAATACTGCCCAAACTACGCTCATCTTCACTTAACTGCCTATTTTGACGACCAGCTGTAAAGTCAAAGCACATTGTCCAACAGTTAGACAAGTCAAATGTTATTTATTACCAAGCCAATTTGAATAACTTACAGCGAATTTTTCTTTGGCGTAAGCGATGAACAAGAAAGAAGAGAAGAGAAAATGACAAAACAGCTGTGATGACAGATGCTATGAGGCGAAGACCAAAATCCCCCTCTAAGCCAATAACATCATTTTTACCAGGTGACAGGTCATCAAGACAAACAAAATCACAGCAACGAGCACCTTTTCTAAAAGTTGAGCAATTCTGTTTTTGTTTTTTGGAAGAAAAAAAAGAAGAGAACACGTAGGATAAATATCCAAGAACCAAGAAAGATGACAACCACTTGAGGTAGGATTTCACAACATACCTGAGGTTGGTGGCACATTACATCCTGACAGTTTTTTGGCACTCCGTTTTCACAAACACATTGGTGACATTCACCTGGACCAGCCATATACATAAGGCCATGCTTAACATGGAGCCCGTTAATATCTCGGCACTCCGCAAGAGACATTTTACTTGGACTCTACAAAAAAACATAAAGTTAAAGAAAGCTAGAAAGACATTTTGCAAATGACTTTAATAAATACCAAACATTTTGTTAATTGATATTATGATTTTTGTAGGCAACTCAATTAAAATCACAAGTGAAGAATGTGATTGAGCAGTAGTGCACAAAGGTCAATTTAATAATAATAAAACGCGATTTAAGAAAAGAACTCTAAAAATAACCCACTGCTAAAATTTATTACCTTCCGATCAATCTTTTCAAAAAACCTAAGTTGTCATTCTTCGCCCATCAGCTCCACAACGCAGGGTCCGTCTGGTTGCTGTTTGTTTGTGAATTAGCAGACTCGAAGCAGACGACGCTTGCACCCTTCAGAGCCCCCGTAACAATGGCGCGGGTTAGAAGATACATCTTTCAGAAATATACATTAAAAGGCAGTAATGCTTGCTGAATTTATCGATTATATTAGGCAGAAAAAAGAAGTACAGCGTTTAAAGGAGTTCCGAAATGAAATTAAAATGGTTTTTCTAATCAGGCCACAATGAACGGGTTGAAACATGAAAGCGTAACATCGGATAGCTCTATCACTTCAATAATAGCATGGTGACGACGATCAGTCTTGAATTGAAATAAAAACCCTTCTCACAGCCGCTTACAATTTTAACCTGCGAGAGAACGAGGATTTCAAACCATGGCCAAGTGTTTAGAATAAAAGAACACGGACTAGATAGGGTTGATTTGACTTCTGACAGAGGGTTGACAGGGGTTGACAGTGACAGGAGCAAGGGATGGGATATGTTCCTGGCACTCAACTCTATTTTACGAACACATTTTGACCACAACGACCATAACAAACACAAGTTTGCCACACTATCCGAAATATTTGAAAGAAATGAATGACAGCATTGTTTCCGCCCTGAATACTGTTACTAATTTTAAATACATTTTGCATTTTCGGTAATAACATAACATCTCTGTTCTTGTGAAGGATGGACGCATCCATGTCTGCATCTGCATGTTGTGATGTTGTCATGGTAGATGGAAGGCGGTTTAGGATCTAGGATCTGCTAGGATCTGTCAAAGCACATAGTAGGAACAAAAATATGTTCAGAGTTTTGACCTTACATTTCAGCAGTTGAACTAAAATTTTGGCTTGTTATTGCAAGCCAACGTCATGATTTTCCATCAATAGATTTTTCGCCTCAACTTCAGGTTAGGTCAATAGATAATGTACTTCAAAACTACAAAATTTGAAACAGCTTTGACATTGAAGCATTGTCCCTTTACATGTCTGCTTTTGAGTTCGCGATGATTCACAAGTTTTAATTACTGAGATTTTTCTTTCATTTTCCAGCCTATTCCACGATGGGTGCAGATCCCATTGTCTTGAGTTTTTATGATTCTATCATAAGGCAGTCTGACGTTGACATCTTAGAAGGTCCTCATTGGTTGACAGATAATTTAATAGGGTTTTACTTCGAATATCTATCAAATGTAGCATACAAAGATGAAGCAAGGCTTCTTTTTATTGGTCCAGAAGTAACTCAGTGTTTAAAGGTATACTTGAATTTTATTACTTGAAATTACGGAGTTGAATACAATATGCACAATCCCTGAATGCATGTGCTATTCTTTTACCTCAGGTGAGCCGCTGCCAAGAACTTGGTGTCTTTTTAGACCCATTACAGGTTGAGAAAAGAACATTTGTATTTTTACCTGTTAATGACTGTACTCAAGTAGAATCCCCTGGAGGCTCACATTGGAGTCTATTAGTCTTCTGCAAGAATGAAGATTCATTCTTCCACTTTGACTCTTCATCTGGATCTAATTATGGACAAGCAAAACAGCTAGCATCAAAACTTTCCAAATTCTTGTCAGCTTCTGAAGCAGGAGTTTTTGTTCAGGCTGACACACTTCAGCAAAAAAATGGTTATGACTGTGGCATACATGTTCTGTGCAATGTAGACCTAATAGCTGAATATTGTGCAAACCACAACCGTGTTGAAGGTTGTGGACTTGTTAAACAGTCAGAAGTTTTGAATAAAAGAATAGAAGTTCTCAATCTTATATTCCATTTAAAAGAAGAGATGGTAAGTTGATGATCCATGTAGCTGTAGCTTATCTCAGTTGCTGCAAATAAAAAAAATATCGCAATTTCAGGAAAATGAATCTGGGAAATCTAAGAACAATCCACGACCTACATCGTCAAAAAAAACATCTAGTGCTGCTGGGTCATCGAAGTAAAAGAAGAGTTCTCCAAACAATTTGTCTTAAAAATATATTGATTCTGTAGGTTATAGATATATTTTTGGCATGGTGAAAATTTTTCAAACCTTAAGATATGTGATATTCATGAATTGTGTTAAAGCATTAGACATTTTACGACATGTGCAACAGGACAAAGTTATGTATTTATAAAATTAATCAACCTATGAAATCAGTGAATTTCTGAAATTCAATCAATTTATTTGTCCATTTGTTTGTCATGTTTAGAGAGAGAAAAAAAAATCTGCCAAGTGCCCAAAAATGCCACAACTTTACTGCATTTAGCATGTATAAATTCTCTATCTCCTAAATTTTGTCTTCCATGCATATGAAAGTGACTCCTTCAGATAATCAATGTTTCCTCATAAATGTCTTACTTCGTATCAGAAACTTTCTTGTAATCAAAAGCTTACTCACACAATGGTATGTAAAAAAGATAGGGGTTTTCTGTTTGGTGTAGAGATGCTGCATGGAATACTGTACACAATATTGTGATATTCAAAACAAAACAAAAACAAACAAAAATACGTACACAGATCATATTTTTATCATAAAAATAGTAAAGTTGTCCTCAAATATCACGTTTAGAGCTTAAAGATCTAATATTTATTAAACACGAGTAGTTGCTCGTTTGTAGTTTATCAGTCGTCAAGACAAGAATGGTGACATTATGATAATTTTTTTGTAACTAAGGTTGCAGATGACACTTTCTTAATTTTTTAAAACTATTACATTAATTGTCATGAAATTTTGCTTTGAATATCAGAACATTTAGGAGGGCAATTGACCTCAAATGGTAGCAAGAATGTCATGTAACTAACAATGCTAGTCTAAACCATGAATCATTATTATAGTAGCATTTAACATCACCATATCGTGTCATGGTCATCATCTTCATCATCACCGCACTACCATTTTCATCATCATATGTATGAAAGACTGTTGTCCCTGATCTAATCTACCGTGACAGAATAAAAGTTTCAATAACATTAATATTTTTGAGAACTCATTTGCTTTTAGTTCTACCAGGATACTTGTTCTACACAGCCAGTGGCAGCGCCAACGGGTAGTCAGTCACGTGATTTTTCGTCGTCTACTAGTTATTTGAATAATTTACAACTACAATTACTTCAGTTAGAATAAAACGGTCACTGTATTTGTTCAATACATTTAATTAGCTACTGAAAATGAAATTACATCTCAAGATCAACACATGACAGGACAGGTAATTTGAGAATTGTATTGGGGTG